GCGCTTCGTGCATACGCCAGGGCAGGTGAATTCAAAAGTATGGTGAGAATACTGGTAAGCAAGGAATTTGGCCGAGAGCCGCCGTTGGTAGTGTTCTGCCAAAGTGGATTGCGTGTGAGGCATGGACCCAGCCAGGATACGAAAATGCAGGTCGAAGTCAAAGGGTCGTTCTGCTGATCCTTCAGCATATTCATTGTGATACCCTGCCCTCTTATTCTGCGCATGGCTCTGCGAGCAGGGTCTCCGTCTCGGCCGATGGGAAGAAGCGAAGACCCTTGTTCGCAGAGTTCGCGACCAAGAAGCAGCTGCAGCCCTCGCAGATTGCTGCCGGTCCGCGAAATCATTTCCTTTGCAGACCTTAATGCTTCACAATCTGCCTTCGTCTAATTTGCTTGCAAGCAGCTGACCTCGAAATTGAGTCTTGTGGCTGCTTAACAAAGTTAGTGTTCTTTGGGCGACGCAGGCAAATGCACAATATAAGCATTTGCCTGCAGCATTTGCCTGCGCCCCCAAAGAACCGCAACTTTGTTTCAGCTATTGACGGTTATTTTGATGGCTTCCTAATGCCTATCATTAAATCGTTGCATATGCAGGGTACGCACTGACTTCCAAGGGGCTGTGGAAATGCTTTGTGTTAGCGGAAATGTGGAAGCTGCAATAGCCCTTGCTGAAGAGAGCCAGCATATCTCTGCCTTGGCACATGTACGTCATGTTCGTATCAGACCAGGAGCACGTACACTCCCACGGGACATTTTGGTTCTTGCCAGCTTTTAGCTCAGCTCTTGGAGAGCTTTGCGGAGGTCAGCATCAAGTACACGGTTGGACCTTCCCGCTTATGTGAAGTCTTGGCTTTAAAGGTGGTCTGCTATGTGCTAGTTTCGTATGACTTAGGCTCTAGGCGAAACGGGTGCAGTCGATCTGCACTTGCGGGCATCTGTTTTGTTGGAGCGCCATGGACTGTTCAGTGAAGCAGCTTCGCACAGAGCCTTAGCTCAACGACCCCAGGAAGCCCTTGAGTTGTACATTCAGGTGCTTTATATGGGATCACGTAGGCATGTAGTGCGCCTCATTTTTTGACGGCTACTTTGGAAATGCTGGCTTTCTCTGTAGCTGCTGTAGAAGGAAACAAGTGTGCGCACATGTTCGTCACGGCGAGCATTCAGGCTGGGGAACTAGCTTGGCCACAAGCTGTGGAACTTGTTGCCAAGACTGGAGACTCGCAGCTCCTGGAGAGACTGAAAGCAGAACTTTCTAGTAAGGTCTTCGTATGTCCACCCCTCAATATTTAGAATTCCTCGGGTTTTCCTTTTTATTTGTGGCCGAATGCTCACGTCCTCCTTCTGCGCGCTTGAGAGCTTTCGACTGTGCTATGGTTATCATATCCATCTTCAGAGGACAAGGAAAGTTCTATTGGGAAACTCGACTCACTCCGGCGGTGAGCTCCAATGTTACCTTGCCGCGTACGCCGCAAGAAAACACGTTCTTGAACCACCCAAAATATAAAGCGCTAGGAGCATAAGTTAAATTCATGGTGCCAAAGTGAGAAATATCCTCTTTTGCACACAAAAGATCTTCCTCATTGCCCATCATACGCTATTCAATAGGCTAGCTGTCCATGTGGGCGAGCCGTGCGAGGTGGCACATAGCGCTTTGGCCCTAGCTCGGCATCAGCAGATGCAAGGACTTTTTCGAGCAGCTCATGCAAGCCTATTTGAAGCATTACAGATTCTCAGGAAAGCCAACGGAGGCCTTTTTTCAAGTATTGCATCGAATATTTTTGTTGGTAAACAGACCTGTCCAAAGTTGAAGCAGCAACAAGCTTACTTCTGCGTTCTTCACCAGTTCGCACTTCTTCATTCATTTTTGCTAGTTCCTGGCCTACTGAAGCAGGGGGATCAGTACGGCGCTGCATTGCTACTTATGAGAGCTTCGGCGTATATTACAGAGTAAGTTTCGGAGCACTGCTTTGCTTCTGTGGCTATTTCTGGGGTCCGTTGGCTGCCACAAATGGAATTGAACTCTCATATCGGCCCTACGAAACTTTGCCTCTATTTTGGTTTATTTGCTGCCAGCTAGTTGATAAGCTGAGTCACCTTCAGTGCCCCTTTTTTGCGGACCAACTGTATTTGCTTCTCTTGCGAGTTGCCAGCAACACAGGGGAATATACACCGAAACGGAAAAGCCCTGTTCTTTCCACAGGCTGACAGCCTGCGTCGTTCTGTTAGGAAACTCGGCCAGTTCTTCTGCATAAGCGGACAGGCTTACAGAATGCGACAGCAAGAGCGTGCTGTCCTGCTTTCACCCATGATTTGACCCTTTGCTTCCATTCCTCCTGCGATTTTATGGCAGTGTTTTCCCTGCATTTTGTGTGACAGTTTCGGAAACCAGGCGGCGTCGATCCTGACTTCAACCCTGCTCACCGGGGCTGCTGCAGGATTTCCTGCCTCAGCTTCTTCCGTCGCAGGTGCATCATTACTTCGCCCAGAAGTTAAATCCCAAATACCAGGTTGCCACCGTAGAGCAGTCGAGCGCATTCTAAGGCTGAAACAACCGGACTCCACACGAAAGCGTTCTACGCCCTGCCTAAAGTGCGATGCTGATATTAACGAGGATGCAATGCAGTGCTCCACTTGCAAGGTTCGTTGAAGGGAATGACACGTTTTCTGCTTTACCAAATTCCTACTACAGAACTACCCGCATGAAGCTTCATGTAGCACGAAATAACGGTTCTACCGGAAGCTTTTCATGACACAATATGAACTGTTTGCAGAGTTTTGCACCTATTTGTGGAGCCTCGGGACTTCTTCTCGCAGGCGATCACTGCGCCGTGTGTCCCTTTTGCCACTTTCCAGTAAACGTAAGTACAGCCATGGAAGAGGCTCCTCTAAAAGCAAAGCCAAGGGGTTCAGCGCCTGCCTTCCTCGCAGCAATTAAGCAGGTCAGTCCCCAGTAATTTTATTCTAATGTGAACGAGCTTTGTCTGCTCAGGAATATATTTACAAACAGCTTCGGAGCCACGCCCACACGTGCCCAGTTTGTTACGAGCCACTGGAAAACGCAGATTGGATAGTTATGCCAGTAGTGGATGCAGCACCGAGTGCCCTCTACATGCACAATGAGACATCCATTGCATACTGCTAGGAATATTCGAATTCGTCCTGCGTCTCTGCTGGAGGTGGATTCCTCATTTTAAAATATGATGTCAAACAAACCGTCCACGAGAAATGTCTCTTTAGACCTCCAGTTTCCTTTGAAGAAAAGTGCCGCCCTAGCCCTCAGGGCTTCAGCTTGTTCTTCAGTTCCCTCCTTTGCAAATGATAGTGCTCACGGTAAAAACAACTTCAGCAGCCGATGGACCGTACGCAAAGACCACAAGCAGAGGCAACTGGTGTAGTGGCTATTTCTTGAAGAAAGCTGTGAACAGAAGCACCAGCACCAGCAGCGTATTTGATGTACTTTCACAATAAAAATTCCTGGCACATCTGCGTCCCGAAAGTGACATCAGCTACCTGCAGCTAAGAAGACAACAGCCCGCCAAGCGGCAGTTAGCTGAAGTGGGTACAGTGCACCTCAATGTTGGCGTCCCTTCCCTTCGATAGTGGAGTTGATAAAATGCACGTAACCGCAGCATTTGCATTGCAGGCTGCACTCCGCACTCCCACTCTTTAGAGGCTAGGGCAAACGGATAGCATCCGGCAAAAAAGAGGAGGGAGCAAATACTGTAGTCCACACGCGCAAAACGATTTTTGCGGTAATGTACAAAAGGATAGTGATCCACTGGATCGCCTCAAGCGCACAAAAGCATAGTGATCCTTTTGATCCATTCAAGTGCTCCTGCGAGGCAGAGATTCACTAGCTGTACGAGAGGTCCACAACACAGTTCGTGTTTTCAGCGTACTACAAATAACTGAGCAGCAAGCTATCAAACAACTGAGTAAAGCATTGCCTACTATCTGCTTCCGGGGAAGGCTTCTCCAGAACATCAGCGCACTTGCGACCTGTTTTAATTCCAAAACGGCCAATACTGTCAGGATCACATTGCTGCCTATCGAAACAAACTACAGTCTGACAGTAGGATATGTATGCTGGAGCAGTTGCTGCAAATCTTCACATCGCTTCGCATTCGCATCGGACCGGTGGAGGAGTATTGTGCTGTTTGTATTCCGCCACGGCGGCGAATTCCCTGCTTCTTTCCTCAATTGCACTGCAGACAATGCCTTAACAACCAAAGTTGTTGAGCGATTAAACCGTCGAATTCTGCTCTACTGTTCGGTTGACATGAGGGCGCTGCCCACAGGCTCACTGGTGAGGGGAGCACACCATGGCAGATGGTGCGGTGCTGCTGCCTCCGCGACTGCTTCCCCAAGCTTGGAGTTGCTTTTGCTTTATTGCAAATAGTGCCTGTATATAATTTATCTGTTGGATGAGGGGAGAAGCAGTCTCAGAGGGTCTCTTAGTTGAATGCGAGGGCCTTGTGGGGTTTGCTTGTTCGACACTCGATCCCTATGGGTGCGCAGAGCCCAATTTTTGAGACAAAATACTTTTGGAGGCTATAGAGCACGTTTGCCCCTGACTGTAATAATTTCGATCTGTTTATTCCAAGTGATTCACGCCAGGTTGCTCTCTGACTCTGATTCCGTGATGGGCTGGGTTGCTTTTTCCAACTGCCGCAACCAGCGAAGCTGATAGGCTGCTTCTTCCGGTGGAGACCTTTTCTTTTCCCATTGCAGAAGCTTTTCTCGAATTGGGCAATGAAACTAGCAGCGGCAGTAGCTTCTTGGGCGCTTGTGCACCTCTGCCCTGCTGAGAGCGCCGGGCAGTCATGGCCTAATTGGACACCATCCCAGCAGAACGGTCCGGTTTGCACTTCAAGAGTGTGCATGCTGCGTAGTAGATGCCTTGTATGACTTGTCGCGCCGTATTTGATTTCTAGGTTTCGCAAGCGCCGTTCAGGTAAGCTGGACTCGTACGTTTTGGGACAGGCTCTCTGTGCGTGTTGTATGGTTCTTTCAGGCCAGCATTTACAACAAGGTGCTTGGTGGCAAGCTCTTCCTTCAGCGCAGCCAGCTTCTCAATCTGCACAGCTGCAGCCCCAGCCTTCCGTGGTTCCAGTGGCTGCCCGTAGCACTTCTCTGGCAGTTCCAGCTGGGGGACTCGTTCAGCAGCGTGCGCGGGTGCACCCGACACAGAATGGGCAAGTAGAGGGTCATACGAGCAGTTCCACGCTCACAGCAAGCGCATCATCTGGCTTATGGAAGGTGTCGAACACAGGGCGAGCTGTACAGGAGCTACAGCAACATGTCGGCGCCGTGTTGCAACGCTCCTCAGCTGGTTCTGGCTGGGGAGGCGAGACTGTGGAGGTTGTTGTGCCCGTGGAGAATCTTACGAGTGCTCTGACGGAGCTCAGCAAATTTATCCAGAGCGTTATGGCTTTCTGCGAAGCCGAAAGCATGCAGAAGGGGATGCAGGGGGGTTTCAGCCCGGCGCATTTGCCAGCTTCGCAGTATGGCTCCGCTGGAAGGTTCCCAGTGGATGCGTTTATTAATCAGGCGAGAGAATATGCACAGCGCGTAACGGCACAAGTGCTTGCGCTCAGGGATTTGCTAAATGCTGTGTGGGCTCCGTCCGCGACAAGAGCAAGCGTTGCTCGCGCAGTACAGCAATTCAGTGGAAGTGTGATGGATTGCAAAGAAGTGTATCAGCTTGGATCGCAGGTGTCTAGTGCGGCTATTGGTGCAATGCTTCCCTTTTTGTCCACGTGCTCGTTCTTCGCCAAAAACGGCGCCCATGGTGCCCTCAGGCTGTGGTCGCTTGTTGGTGCGCGCATCAACTCATCCCTACGTTATATGTTCCAAGTACTGGAAATTATACGCAAGACAGCAGGAAGGCTTGTGGACCTGGTGTCAGGGAAAATCCAGCCACAGTCCCTACTGGACTTCGCTCGTTCAAAGCCATTCTTCAGGGCAGCTGCTTACTTGGAGACATCAGAGGCACGCTCAGTATCAGCAGTGGCTTATTTTAATGACTTGGCTGCAGCATTCCACAATCACACGGCGTCATTGAGTTCTGGTGACGTTGCGCATGCAAGTGAAGGTGTTACGCAGCACTTTGGTGCAGGAGATGACGTGCAGCAAAGTGTAGATGCAGATGAAGTAAACGCAGATTTTTCTCTCATGGCAGAGGACTTGAGCCCAGAGCCCACGCAGCACCTCGATGTGGGAATAGCTGAGGGTCGACGAGACGACTTACAGACCGCAGCTGACGAAGAATCATTCCCCTGGAATGTTCCGGAGAAGGCTGTAGGGCCCACCGCGCTTGATGAAATGCAGACGCTGGACTACAGCTAAGCCAGCTGGCGCGCAGTGAAAGTCGTGCTCCAGGCCGTATTGGACCCCGGCCTTGGGGACATACCAGTCACACAGAAGAGCTCGAAGGCAGAACTTTTGTGTTGCGATTGGTGCGGAGCCGACATCAGTTCCCCTGACTGCAGCAGCTGTGCCACCATTATTCTCCTCGTTGCGGGACTCGCTTGCTAAACTGGTCTATCGTTACTGTTTACAGTTGAAGAGCGGTTAACGAAGTGATGCACATTAGAGGGAGCTTCTAACTACAGTTCGGTGTCTAGCACTACACGAGAGGTTGCCACTACAATCATGAGAACCCCGGCAAGTAAGCATTGCCCGATGCAGGTCCGTAGCGTGCACAGTGAGCCGCCCTACTTTGTTTTGCGGCGAGCCTGACAAATGTGCAGTCCCGTAACGTGGCCCTGTCAGTCCGACGGGCTGGAGGGCTAGTGGCTACTCAACCTGGAAGGATGCGAAGCCGACTGCAGCGAAGGCTCCGTAAGTGTAATATAAATTTCGATACCCCGCAGCACCTCCCACATTGCCAGCTGATAATGATCAGCGTACGCAACGGTACTCATAGCAAACGCTGCCGCACCCCTCCCCGCCGCTCCTATCCCCAGCGGGGCAAACTAGGTACAACGCGGCTCGACTATGCACCCTGGCAGGAGCTACCAGCGGAACGATGCCGTTCCAGTCACTTAAAGTATTGTTCTCTGCAAAGTTTGGGTCACGCAGCGGGCGGCAGCACTACCCAGCCATTGGGCGACTGCCAGGGCTTCGCGCAGTAACACACAAAGTACCATTCACAACCGGCAAATTCAGTTGCCGTCTTTCTGGGACATGTAGACTGCAAGGTCAACGAGACGGTTGGAATAACCCCACTCGTTGTCATACCATGAAACGAGCTTGACGAAGTTGTCATTGAGTTGGATGCCGGCCTTAACATCGAAAATGGAAGAGCGTTTGTCGCCACAGAAATCCTGGGACACAACCTCATCCTCTGTAACCCCCAAAATACCCTTTAGTGGGCCCTCGGCAGCCGCTCGAATGGCAGCCACAATGTCCTCATACTTTGCAGGCTTTGCCAGTCTGCATGTGAGATCAACAACTGACACATCGGGGACAGGAACGCGGAAAGCCATCCCAGTAAGCTTGCCGTTCAGTGAGGGGATAACTTTGCCCACGGCCTTTGCCGCGCCGGTGCTGGCTGGGATAATGTTGCTGCCAGCGCAGCGTCCTGCCCTCCAGTCTTTCCCTCCCTTCGACGGCCCATCAACAGTCAGCTGGTTTGCAGTCATCGCGTGCACTGTTGTCATCAGGCCCTCGACGATGCCGAACTTTTCGTGCACAACCTTTGCCAAGGGAGCCAAGCAGTTGGTTGTGCAAGATGCGTTGGATACCACCTGGTGAGACGATGTGTACTCTTCATGGTTGACACCCATCACAAACATCGGAGTATCGTCCTTAGGTGGCGCAGAAATAATTACCTTCCTTGCACCTCCGCTAACGTGAAGTCCCGCCTTCTCCTTGTTCGTGAAGACTCCAGTTGACTCGCAGATATAGTGCGCACCAACCTTCCCCCAAGGAATGGCCGCAGGGTCCTTCTCGGCAAAGACCTGGATAGTCTTGCCCTCAACAACCAGGTTGCCGTCCTTCACTGTCACTTCTCCAGGATATCTGCCGTGGACGGAGTCGAACTTCAGCTGGTAAGCCATATACTGGACATCCATGAAGGGATCGTTCAGCGCAACGACCTCCTGAGCCCAGAAAGTCAGACACAACACTCAGACACGACACTAATCCTGTAAGCTAGATAGGAAGCATGAGAATCACGTGTACTTCCCGTACTAGAGGACCCTGTGCATGCAATTCTTATAGGGCAGCGCGAGGCATATACAGTGTGCTCAAGTGACCATGCTATATGACTAGTTGTCCACTGGAGCGAGAACATCACAAAAGACAGCAGCTACACACCGAACAGCACTATGTCCCGAGTCTTACCACATTTGGGTTGGCCATTGCGGCACGGAAGACCAACCGCCCAATGCGGCCGAAGCCGTTGATGCCCATGCGGCACACCATCTTCGAATAGTAGGATAATGGCAAGGATTAAACGATACACAACAAGATTTCAGTCAGCTCGACAGGGGAATCCTTGTTGTGAGTGCACACACACATTGGCTGCTGCTACTCATCACCGGAGTAGGGGGTGCCCGCGAGAGGAGACGCGTGGGGGAGGTGCGGCGTGCACGGAGCACCAGCAACTGTCGGCTTGCGTCCTCAACCGTTAATAACCTTTGGATAAAATTTCCACATAACTACACCTCCATGTACCTTCTATAACTTTTAATGCCTAGAACAGTCAATCGTGTTTTGAAGGGTAACGTTACACCTGTACGAACACGCCGCATCACATATATTTGCGTGCAGCGAGAACTGCGGGCTGCACGCTGCAGCTTTTCACTCGCATGTCGAATTATTTAGTCTCCCACTATGTTTGTGTTACTTTGCAGTAGTAGGTATGATGGTTGTAGGCTAGGAGGACTTGTGTGTGGGGCGCTCATACTGGGCGGCGCCGCGCGATGTTTCGCCGTCGCCACTTCCATCTGCTGTAATAGTAGCATCCCTGTAGGCCTTTCCAAAATACATTCCATCTTTTAAAGCAATTCATACCTGAAGCACCAAAGTGTTCCCAAATCGGCGTTGGACTTCCTGTGAGGCCTTGTGGTGGATGTTATTTGCGGGCTGTATGATCCCTTGAGCACGAAGCAGTTGTTAAGTTGCTGTTCTAAAGCAGTGACGCTTTGACATGATAGCTGTGGCTGAATTTACCGATGGGATCTCGACTGCGCTTCCGGGCCAAAGGCGTCCTTTCCTTCTTGTAGTAATTCAGCTCCGTTTAGTGAACCAGCTCTGCCCCAGAGCTGGAGTACTGCTGTGCCGAGATATTGTTTGCTTCGATCGTCAAGTTTAAACAATTTTAAACGTAATCATCAGAAGCTGAAGCGAAAGCATACTTCTTAGATGCAGCTAACTCAGAGTCAGAGAGGTCGTGCGCTACGCGTATCTCTGGGGTTCCGTAAGGCAAGGCGGACCTGGGCACAGAGTGTCACACTAAGCATGGTGAGGATTCTACCCTGTACAGCCCGTGCATATACTGAGGGGGCAGCTAAAACATAAATTTATGCAGGAAGTGACGCGATGCGGCTATGAAAAGGAAAGCTATAAAAAAATGTGTATACATGTTGTGGGTAGACTCCTAAGGTTCGACAATGCTTACTGTCCCAACGTAGCGTGAAGACAAACAACCAACAACGGATCGTACACGCGTGGTGACGATTTCGGCGGTGGTTGCGTGCTTCCGCTGTAAGGATGCTGGGGTTTGGCTGTCTTGGAATTGGATCAACACAGAAACAGTTCCTTCATAAACAAGAGACGTTTTTACAGCAGATTCGAGCAAAGGCACGCTTGCCAAATGTAGCACTGCCCGGAAGACTGGAGACATCTACGCTGCCTTACGACTTTGGCTACTAAAACTGCAATAACTTAGCCTAAAAGGATTTCCACTAATGCACCTCGAAAAAGTCTGCAATACAAAACAGAAAATAAGGACGATACCACTATTTTTTCGTTATTGGGAAGGTGAGGCCAAATGGAGCTGAGACTCGTACCGTGCAGATCCTCTTAGGTGTTCTGAATAAATTGTGACGCAGTGTTGAGCAGGCAACAAGTGTGAAATCTCACGTGCGTGGAGGTATTTTACATGGAAAAAGTTAAGCATCAAGCACAGGGCAAGGCTGGCGTTTTCCGAAGAGCCATGATCACAAATAATCGCAATTATGTCGTCAGTCTTGACCTCTCTGATCCCAAGCTGGGGAACATAAATGATCAAACACTGCATACAAGAGATCTGCGCTGCTATAAGGGATACCATTAGCGCATGTGGTGCCCGGAGGCATAAGGGAGCCGCCGAATCTGAAGTTTGCGCTGCCACTTCGAAGACATGCTAGTAAAGCGGCGTTATCGGGCTACTTTGGAGCAAGAAAAGTCATCAGGCCTTTTTTACAGAATTTGTAGTGTCGCCAGCATCACTCGTGACATGCATGCTCGCATGGAACGACGAACGGGTCGAACGGATCGCATCAGCTAGGTAAAGCGACTGAATTCATCGGGCACAATTGCGTTCAACAGCGCAGCTTTCATCATCTTCAACACTATTCGAAAGAAACGTAGAAGTCCCAAGACTGCACAACGTTTCTTGGAGCCCTCTCCTGCTGCTGGAGAAGTACACGTGCACACAACAGATGCGGGACCCAGTTGCTGTTTTTCACGGTAACACTAGCGGGACACCACCATGTGTGGGGTTATCCACTGCAGGCGCAGCCGACAGTTGTCCCTGCTTCAGAACATGTAGCGATCTTGACATTTTTTCATAAGGCCACATACGTTATCAAGTACATTTTTTCATGAGACCACACAAGTTATTAAATATCCCTGGTATCCAAATATTTGACTGTTGGACTCGGATCAACATGTAGTACAAACCAGAAGTCCCCGGACCACTGGTTGACGACGCTGTGTCTGCAGTTTGGTTCATTGCGCACCGAAGGCCTTCGTGAGGAGATCAGCCCCCTTCTTTAAATGGTAACCAACACACTTTTCTTTAATCCGCTTTGTGTTGACTTTGCTGGATTCAGTTTGGTCTTTGCACATACACAGCGCAACCAGGGGCGCTCGAAAGGGGACTCTTATCCCCAAACTCGACCCGGCTCACGCAGAAAGCGTCGCATGACCCTTTTATTGGTGCTAGCTTGCAGCCTAGAGCCTACATATGGCGAGATAAGATCTTCCCACTCTGGCTGTGTTCAATGCCACGCGCACGTTGCGAGAGCTTTTGAGCTATAGTGGAGGGCTCCTCTGGCGGGCTTTGCGTCGGCCTAATGCTGAGGCCGTAGCAGCAGAGGCCAGATAATCGTTTGCCAGTACTAGCTGCACAGAGT